ACCCACCACCTCGTACATACTGGCTGTAGGAGACAGTTGGTCGTTGCTGGAAGGGACGGGGTGCACGGTCCTTGTGGCCGTGTTAGGCTCGAAGAGCGGCTCCATGCACTCAGTGTGGAGCGGACTACGGTACAGCCACCGCCTTGTGTGCGCTTGATTCCCCACATACAGCGTGCCTGTGTTTGCTTGTGAAGGAGTGTGAAACGGCTCCGTTGATGAAATGTGGCTTCCATCCACATGTCCCCGGTCTTATTCCTTCGGGTTTACACTGGATATGGAGTGTGTGGTTGGAGCTGTGGGTGGTGCAGCGCAACCACCCATGGTCCCTCTGTAGGCGCAGGCGTCTTGTGGCTGACCACAGTGACAGGCGGATGCTGCCAAACATGTTTCAAAGAGCCAATCCCACTATGCTCGTCTATGCACACCATCGTTGCGTACATATTGGTGCTATTTGATACTAGCATTGCGTCACAGACATAGATGAGTACAGACTTGAAGGCACGTTAGATCCTATGAGGCCGTCTCACTAAAATATATCACAACGGTCCCCGCTGAGGCCATGAGCACAGTTTTCAGACGGAGGGACGTCACAGATATTACAAGCCAGGAAAGTGGTTTTAGCTTTCATAGTATGTGTAGTAATTACAGCAGCCTCATCCCCATTACTGTTAACGCAGCCGTTAAGATAGGAAAATTGGCAATTATGTCCACTTTCTCGTCGTCAATAGTCAAAGGGCCATCAAGTGGCTGGCGGTCCAGTAACAGTAGTTTGGAGGTGTGAGGCCATACTAAATGATGGGACTACTTCAGAGTTTAGCTACCGCTGACTGTGCTGTGGCACGACTATCAAACAGCAAGAAGATGTCGTCTGCAGAACCCAGATATACCAGGCAGCATTTTAATGCCTACATCGCGATGCTCCACACCGTGATAAAATCCACGATAAGGTTGGGCAAAATTGGTAAACGGACAATCTTGGCCGACAACATTTGTTGTCAGAAAGGCACTTAGCAACTCATCGCAGGCACTGACGCGATCTGTGATTTCCGAGTACAGGACGCGCAGAATGTCCAAACATTGGATAATGGCACCCTTGCAAACAAGTGTGACGAATATGCTGGATCGTACGACGAAGTCGAATGTATTCTTGAAATCGAGAGACACAGGGGTTGTCGGTGTGCGGTACGTGCGACGATGTTCTAGCACCCGTCGTAGAGTGAGTATGTGGTTTGTACAAAATCGGGCTGGGCGGAAACCAGAATGTTCTCATCACTTGCTGGAATTCCGCTCCGCAGGAAAACGGTAGACGAGAATCGAGACCAGTGGCTTCATAGATACTGGAATCAGACTGACACCTTTGTGGTTAGACCCTGGGTGCGGTTGCCCTATGTATATATTGCCAATACGGTCGAATCACTCAACCTGCTGGGATGGCTTCTTTTTTCAATACCTGCTAGGACATGTGACTGTCTTGCAGATGATCGCATGTCTGCACTTAAGTAACCCAGACACAAGAGATTCCGGACCATCAGCGCGAAAATGACTGAGGCTGCGATCGCGTTTCGCATCAGTCTCCGATGGAGCCTCTGAAGTAATCGGCAATGGCTCAGCCTGTATTACACGAATAGGAAGAGACGCAAGAGGTTGAGACCAGTTGAGTTGTTCTCAAAAGTGTTCCGTTTAACGAGCCAGACGACGTTGTTTATTGTGACAGGGTGCATCGGTGCTGTCAGGTGTTCGAATTAACTGGAAGAGCCTGGGATAATAACCCACCGCTTCTGCATCTTCCCCAGACCATTAGGTCCACCAGACTTCCTTATCTGCAGCATTGCCCAGTTTCAGCTCGTACTTAGACATCCAAGTAGATTATTTGTGTTCAGAGGCAGTCGGGAGTTTGCTTCTGGATCCCAACAGGTTTACCGAGCTCTCGGATACCCTGTGTCTGATGAGCTGATCAGTGCAAGTACCGCAGGCAGGGGCTCCAGCGTCGTGCATGATGATATCTGGAGCGATGGACTGATATGGCAGCCTGGTAGTGTTGCTTGACTGATGGCTGATAACTTCTCGGTCAGAAGTCGAGGGAAAAGTTTGCTATACCTCGTGGCGAAATTCATGGAAAAATGCTAGCGAACTAAGGTATGATAAGAGTTGATGTAAGTGATCCAAAAAGGGTGGCAGTCCAGAATGGAACCACACTACTTGAAACTTGTCGATGTGGTCAACCTGAGTTCATCGCTGACTCACCACCGCAGGACATCAACAGATCGGTGCACACTGTGTCTGAAGACCATGCTGCTAAGAGACAGCATTGTATTGCGTTCAGAATTAAGCCCAAACATATGAACTTCTGAGGAGCTTAGATGACATATTTACGCATTCATATTCTCTGCTACTAGGCAAAGAAAAGGCATCAGCAGTACGCCGGTACAAGGGATCGACGCTTCGCTGCCGCGTAACCACTAGCAGTTGCATGTGGACTAAGGATATTGAGAGGGTCGTCTGGTCTCTGAGCAGGCTCGAATCAGCGCCCCCGGATTAAAAAGCAGGCTTATGATCCTTAAGGCTACGGGCTGATTCCTGCCACTAAAGCGATATTGGAACTGGCAACGCTGTGAAATAACGTGTTGATTTCGTGGTCTAGTGCTTTTGATAGCTTCAGCGTGTAAGTGACAATAGCCAACAGACAGCAGTTAGCGCTGCTTCGTGCATTAACCTTCACTGGCGTTGTCAGACGGGCTACTCACAGAAATCCAGTTGACCAACGATGACTTAATTTGGAAGTTGAGAACGATGCCCACTCCAGTTCGAGCTGTGTTCACTGCATTATCGTCCCCAGGTGCGTCGGATCAGTAGCGAGGGAATAAGCTGGGTGCAGTTAGTCCGTTAAAGTGGTGTGATAGTCATTGATCCTAGTCAGTCATTAACCGTTGTGACAAGCGGTGCGCGCCGCGACTCTGTGTCTTAAGTGTATGGTTTTTCGCCAACATCCCAAAGGCTTGTCCTGCTATCTCCATCTGATGACTGCAAACGAGTACGAAACTGGTCATAAGGTGTAGTGTTTCGAGTGGACAAGTAACACAGAACTGCTTTAGTTACAGCCGCTGTGATCAATTTGATTAAGGTACACTTCAATTTGAATCCAAGCCCACAATGAAAGTGCACCTCGTAATTCACTCACAAAACGTGTGCTTAAAGAAGGATCCATTCGCTACACGTTGACACTCAGTGCGTCCAATATGTGCGCAAGTACACCCCGCTGACATGTCACATAGTACGAAGCTGAATGCCGCCAAGGAAACTGGACAGTGCGGCTTGGTAAGGGGCTACTAAGGATATGAATCTAAAAGGTGCTGTTGGAATATGGCTGAGGATGGCAGAACCCAACGGTATTGCAACCGCCGTCAAACTGAGCATAGCAGAAGGAACATTGGAACCTGGAGTAATTTTTAGTTGGGATCGTGTTTCTCGTGGTGACGAGAAACCGCACTTCCAACGGGATCGATCACATTTACATACACATGCCCCCACATGTACAACTATCTATGGTTGGGCATAGTGCAGGAATACAACAGAGGAATTTTGATTAAAAAAAAGCTTCCCACGGATCCTTCACTCTTATTCTACCAATTCACCGATATTCTCGTTTGCATCATTACGATGCATATCAGGGACCACAGTGACGGTGGGTCTGCTTTTTCTATCATACTTTAGTACAGGAATACAAAGATAACGCCGATGAGCAGAGAAATCGCGCTGAAGCAGTAAGGGCATGCAGCCGCGATGAATCACTCGTATTGCGCGTGGACGAATTGATGTGCAAGTGCCTGAGTCATGCATGTTAGATGAGTGTATCCGAGATGCCAACCCAAGACGTGCATGAACCTAGCGTACAAGTCCGGTTTGTGACACATGTCAGAAGGAAGGTCATCTTTTGTGTCTAAAATAAAACCTTGACAACAAACAAATAAATCTATCATTTCCTAATCATTCTGTGGAAAGGATATTGTTCTTTCTGAGACTAATCAGCGAGTAGATGAGACTAAGGTTATCGGGTTTGCAACCATTGTGGACTTCATCATCAATGGCTCAAAAAGCAATTGATCAAAGTCACATCAAGTTGTTCTGTGGCATTCAGAAGCATACAAGCCAGTGCACTACTTAAATATCGTACTCATTACGACAGTATACAACCTACAGTATCCCTAACTCGAGAGGTTGCAGATCCGTTTAGGTGTTTGCATTGTGATCCAACGGATGACAGTTAAAGGCTGTGCAAGTGCGGGCGGGCCTTGTAGTATACCTAGCCTGCAAACGATCAGCAGTGACCGCGAAGTGCCGGTAGGACATAATGTTGTAGTGATGATTAAGTTTTCTCTTTACAGTAGCTCTAATCAGGAAGAAATTACCTTCACCGAACTGTAAGCAAAATGGCCTCACAAGTAATGCTGGGGTGTCCCACTGGCTTGTTTATTTCAAGCGGAGGAGGACCAGCAGCGAAAATATATCGCGAGACAAGAACATGTGACATCTGGTAGCACGTAACTCAGGATCCAAAGTACGACGGATACAATCGGGTGATAGGTACAATTAGTAGTCAAAGATAGATCTTATAGGAACCAACCTCCAGGTGAAACAAGTGCCAAATATGTACTTAGTAGACATGACCCTAATATGATTCTCTAGACAAATGAAGGATAAGGAAAAGCACAATACAAGCGCAACAGCGCGGATTCGGGGACCAAATTTCAAAACTTCGCAAGGAGATCAATAAATGTTCCTTACGGATGTTTCGAAAGATCGCTCTTCATGGAGTTACCTAAGACAAAGATCTATAATCGTTGATAAAACTCAAATCGCAAAAGGCGTAAGGCCAGCAAGTTGTAATACAAAACTGACCGACAGCTTCATAGCAAAAGAAAGACGTCTGATGGGCTAGCTCTTAATAAAGATGAAATTTAGACAGTGAGCATGATAGAGTATAAATATGGCCGCACACCAACCTGGTCTCCGTGCGCATGACGCCCAATAATGATCGGCTTCGTCCACCCAGGTACCAAACGGGGGATGTTTCGGCATAAAATGGGTTCGCGGAAGACGGTTCCGCCCAATATATTTCGAATGGTGCCATTAGGCGAAAGCCACATCTTCTTGAGGCCAAATTCTTATGTATTATTTAAAATAGTTTAGCTTACCCTCTACTCTCTGTTCATCGGGGGTTATTGTGGCACACTTGATGCCCACACCGCACTCTTTGATGGCGTGAGCGGCTTCTGTGGTCACTTGGTCATTTGTTCGATTACGATTAGGCAGGCCTAAATCAAAATACTTGCATTCCAAATCCAAAAAAGGAAATATAAGCTAAAACGCACTTATAGCAAGAACAGGCTTACTTTGGTTTTTATCTTTTCCCAAATAATGCGCGTCATTTCGTCACCGTCAAGATCGACGACGGGGTTTGTGACCCTGATTTTGTTTAAGGGTATTGTACTCATTTGCCGGCCGCAGGGAACATCATTGGTTATGCAGGAAGCGGATGGGAAAATACGGGGCGACACGAGACGCAGAGACCGCATGTTATTGGTGTAATATGTGTGCGGTCAGGGATTACGAGGGCTTCCGTGTCCAACGTGTACGTAGGTCGTAATAGACCTGGGGAGCTGCAATGGAAAGCAAATACCACGTAGGTGGCTAGATGATCACAAACACCTAGTAAGACCACAGTAAGCCGAACGCGAAGGTAAGACGAAAAATCAATGGGCGTCTACCCGAAGTACAACGACCTTACCTTAGGGAGCACAGCAAGGTCACGCTCGGACCTGCTACATTATTCCCCCTGTTGACAGGCGCTGTTTTCAGTGCCTACAATAGCCTTACTCGGTCTCAGCCTGCTGATGTGAAGAACAACTGATGAGTGCAATGTGTTCGGTTCGGGAGTCCGCGACAAGCAGTGTGGTCAAAGGAAAGTTAATGATCGTCTCAAAAGGCAACGGTCTAGCTTCACAGATTGTTGTAAGGAGCAGACAGGGTCGCTAAATGTGTAGCATGCGTTGGGTCTACGATCTGTTGGTGTACAAAACAACTGAGGAGCACGGTGTGATATGTTCGAGAGGTTCCACGACAAGCAATGTGGTCGGAGGAAAGCCAATGATAGCCTCGAGGGCAACGATCTAGACTCAGGCACTGTTGTCGGGAATTGGCAGGGTCGCCAACTATGTAATATGTGCCCGGTCATGGAATTCGCTAGCTTTCGTGTCCAGCGTGTACGGATATCGTAATAGATCTGGGGAGTTGCAATGGAAAGCAAATACCTCGTAGGTGACTGGATGCTCAGATTCAAACTCAGATGGGGACTGGAACGATGGGGAAACCCCTTAAGTGTTCCTTCTTAAGCGGATCGTTGGGCCTGGAAATGGTAAGGCGCTACGAGGTCATGATGGATCTAAAACGAAACACCCGAACCACACCCTGGTCAACCAACTACCGCCCACGTTTCCTGCGCTAGCAGTCCCTGCTGTGTAGGTCGTGTGAAGTAAAGACGTAGAAAGAAAATGGAAACAGGAAGGAAGTGATTAAAATGAGGGATAAGACCAGAGTGAGAAGAATGACAGAATATGAAGTCAAAGTTGGAAATGGATATGGTCAGGAGAAGGGAAAGGCATCGTGTTGCTACCCAAGAACGCCTAACTGACGTCCGAAACCCTTAACCATAGGTTCATTGACTACATTTACTGGAAGCGAGTTCCAGCGCTCGACAACTCTACGCGATAACCGAGTTTCCGCTCTGATCCGGTCAGAACGCGGCTTGTGTAGCTTCATAGGATGACCGCGAAGACAAGGCAACCTAGCCGGGCTAAATAGACAGCTCAAGTCCGGTCCAACGTTCCCTGTTAAAATGCGGGAAGTAAGGATTAGGTCTCCTCGAAGCCGTCGGTAGTGCATTGAATACATACCCAAGCTAAGTAGACGCTCGGAATGCGATTGCCCCCGTAACCCTTCGACCAATTTGGTACCTACTCTCAAAACCCTCTCGAGCTCCATTTTGTCCAGAACAAGACAGGACGGGCACGCCTGGACGCAGTATTCCAGATGGGGCCGGACGAAAGCTGAGAACAGCTTCATAAATACGTCTGCAGTTAAGACCCCGAAAGAACATATTAACCACGACATTCTGAAACCTCTACTTCCAGTTGTCACCAGAATGTAAAGAGGAGGAATGAACGACGCCTAGGTCTACCTGGTTGGAGACAAGGGGGAGTTCGACCCCACCGAGTACGTAGCTCGAAGGCGGGAAAGTTATTCCTATACGAAGGATGGAACACAGCCTGATTAATAGGCAGTAACCACAAAGCAGACCAGTCCTGGAGTCTGTCCAGGGCATGTTGTATGGCCTCAGAACCCCAGGAACATTTATAACATTCCATAGCTTAAGGTCATCAGCAAACAATAGGGATGTGACTCAAAGCTCTCCAGCGAGATCGTTTGCGTAGATGGAGAACAGCAGTGGTAAAAGGACCGAGCTCTGTGGGACACCGCTAAGGACCTCTTGCCTAAAGAATAAGCTGCAACCCACACGTACACACTGCTCTCTTCCCTGCAAGAACGCAGATACTCAGTGAAGGGCGCGGCCAGATACGCCGTAGGAACTCAGCTTTTGTGATAGCCTCAAGTGGGGTACCATATCAAATGCTTTCGAGAAGTCTACGAAAAGCACATCCACTATGTGGCCATTGTTCATTGCCTCGGCCCAAGCTTCACGAGCAACCAACAAATTCGTCAAACACGAAAACCCCTTCCGGAATCCATGTTGTGCACTACTGAGTAGATTAAATCTGTTCAGGTGACATTCCAACGAATCTCTCACCAGCTTTTCAAGCAGTTTAACCACGACGCTAGTCAGACTGACTGGCCTATTATTGGCTGACAGACTTCTGTCGCCATTTTTGAAGATAGGACAGATGACAGCCTCCTTCCATTCAGAAGGTAATGTACAGTTGTCAAGTGACTTCTGAAACACCATCGTCAGCGGGTCCACTTAGTTCTCCCGTCAACTCATGCAAAAGCTTCGGGTGAATTGAATTAGGTCCAGCTGCTTCGGAAGGGTCCAGTTCTTGCAGAAGTTTAAGGACTTGTGTTTCCACCACAGTAAACTCAGCTAAATAAGAACGCTCAGGTACTCTGGGGACAGGTTCAACGTTAGTCAACGCGGCCTCACGTACAAAACCCCCTGCATACTGCTCACCAAGTACACGAGCCTTGTCCGAGTCCGCATACGCAGGAGTTCCATCGGCCAGCATAAAATTAGAGAATTTGAACCACAGCGTCTCTTACCATAAGCTAAAAACTTCTTCGGATTTTCCGAAGGTACATCAGCCAATTCCTTTTCGTACAACAGCCGAGCTTTCCTCAAGTGTTGTTTACATCTATTTCTAGCCTCTCTGTACTTATTATAGGTGCTAGTTGATGGAGCAGCACGGGAGGTCCGCCGGCATCTAGAACGCTTCTGGAGCAAGTACTTTCCAATGGTACCTGTCCACGGGGGCCGTGCTAGTCGATTTACCCCTCGCAAGCGCTTGCATGTTGAGCGATTTCTCATCTCCCGGTTTGGGGGTTAAGGGTCTGCACACTTTTCTTGCCCTCTTTCGCTGATTCTTTTCTGTCCAAGGAGCCCGTGACTGGCTTTTCATTTGTGGAGGGTAAACAATGCCATATGAGGCATGAGTCAGTCGTCTCCGCTTGAATTGGAGCATCCGGCAGGGTGAACGACCCATCAACGAATGGACTGTCTGCAGGGGGACAGTCCGCTACAAAGTCCTCATTTGCAATACTCAGGCATTTCAAAGTATTACTATGAAATCCACTTTAGTGTTGAGTGAGGTAAGCGAGGCTAATGCCTAGGCGTTACTGCTACAGCTGCAGCAGTTTGGAGATCCCCCGTTCGCCTGTGTAAAAGTTAACTGAAATTATTTCATTGTACTACTAGGCGACCGGTGTGGTTTGCTGTACTGATTGCTGAGTTCGAATGCTTGATTAGATCAGCGCCACTTTTGCTTGGCGCTCACTTGGGTTGCAACGCGCGACTGCCCTGTGTGCTGTGTATCCTCCGTTCCCCTAGCTAGAGCGTCAACGGTGTCGCTTTTTTATAGCTTTGTAACAGGGAATCTTTACTATACCAATAGAAGTTTCCCTGCAACCCGATCTGCTTTTTTGGAATCGCTCTCCGGGCTCCCGCTACTGGCTACTCGCTAAAAATGGCCACTCCGACTGCGGAAGAAATTCAAAACCGGATATGCCAAAGTGTACTCCGGTTTCACGGGGCTTCACGGGTTTGCGCAGAACGAGTAAGCGTAGCTTTTCGGTGTTTCTGCCTCGTGATCTTACGGCAAGGTCCTGATCTCGTCGGTAGGTACCAGATGTTGTGGGTCTCGACGCAGTAGTGGAGTTCAGCACAAGTATTCAGCGAGTTGACTGTGGGAACGTGGATACCTGGAACAAGAGAGTGGTGTAGGTAAATTCGGTAAAGTTGGATAGAAGCAAAATGATAGAAGCGCCGCGTGTTAGCTTGGCAAATGGCCAGATCTTAGCAACGTGGAAGACCAGCGAGGTAAGAGCCAAGCGTCTAGGCGCTGTTTGAAGGCCACCGTATTGCGCGCTGAGACAACAACTTCAGGGAGGATGTTCCAAGCGAAGGCAATACGCACACTGAAACTGTTTCTTCGGCACAGAAGGCGACTGCTACGAGTCATCAGTTTGAGTGAGTGCCCTCGAAGATGATCTGTACGGGCGCGGACCAGCAATCCTGCGTTTGGGTGCCTGTTATTAGTCAGGACGGAATAAGCTAAGATAAGGTCGCCACGAAGCCTGCGATATTTCAACGGGAAGAGGTTAAGGGCCGCCAGACACTCCTCATACGAGAAGTGGGATAGTCCGTCCACTCTCTTAGTGGCTCTGCGCTGTACAGTTTCCAGCATGGCCTCGTCGTTCTTCAGGTACGGCGGCTGGACAAGTATGTTGTACTCCAGCAGCGGACGTACTAAAGTGCTATAGAGACGGACAAATGTCTCTCTAGGGAAAGACTCTAGTGCACGTCCAAGGAGGGCCAGGCGAACGCTAGCCTTTCGCGCCAGTGTAGCTACATTGGCGCTCG